CCTTGGCCCATTCATTTTTTTAAATCATGGCAATTTGTTTTTTAAAAGGTGTTTGAAGTCCTTGAATCTACCTCTTGGCACCATTAAAAAAAAGTAGTTTATAATCCCCTAATGTGCTTAAATAAAGCCTTCAATAGTTTAAATTGTTATTAAACATCTTTTGGGATTATAATTTTATGGCTTTTTTTGCCTGATTAGATGATGAACGTGAAGATCATCAAATACTCATCATATAACAAACCAATTACATCGCATAATCCCCAAAATGAGGTTTGAATCTCAACATTTTAAATTAAGCTGGATTTAAAGGATGCAGAGTATTCACAATGAGCGAACAAAACACTTGAAAAGACACCACCCCCTACCCCCCCAAACTCCCTTCTTCTAGTTTTAAACCCAAAGTTACCACTGCTGGGACAAAAGCATAGTATGGGTTGAAGCAGAAACGAATCCTGTTGCCACAATTAAATTTACACAGATCTGGTCATAGGCCAGATTATTTTTCCCCTACCCTTCCTCCAAGCTTTTCTCTTATTTTGCAATCCCTGCTGAGACTTATACATTACAGTGAGGAGATCTATTTGAAAAATGGTGGTGAGATATGATCCCTGAATGTTAAGTGATCCAAGAAATAATAAAAAAAAAATTTAAAAAAGGTCCTGCAGAATGTTGCCGTGCTGCAGCACACCCTGAAATTATCCTTAGGGCAACTTTCTGGAGCCCAGCTCCAGCACAGGACTGGTTCACCCTAATCCCTCCGCAAGACCCCGCCATGGCATTCAATGTTCATCTGATGCCACAAACCTCCCCTCCATTTTGGCTCAACCTTTGTACTTTGGGGATGTCCTCACAGCTTCACCAAACTATTAGCAGCCTTATTTATTTATTTTTCCAAATAGTAGCAGGACATTCCTTCCACATCAAATTTATAGCAAAATCCTAAAAATACATTTCACAAACTTCAAAATTTACGGGCTGCTGTCATAATCTACCCCCAAAATTTCAACAAGCTCCACAGCCTAACCAACAGCCAACCTGGGCAGCTCTTTCAACCCAGACATTTAATCAAAATTAAGTCAGAATAGCAAATAGTTAAAAATAAATCCTGCAAAGTCCTAAGCGTAAGTCTGATCACCACTTTTGCTATTGTTTTAGCTGATTTTTTTTGTTGTTGTTATTATTCCAAGGGGAAGAAAAAAAAGGGCAAATTGGATGAATTTATCCCCTGAAGTGTTTCGGAGCATACTGCCTGCATCTGCAGAGGACAGCGCTTGCCTACCCTTTGGGCATACATCAACTCGGTTCTGCACATCAGTCAAAATAGTGGGGGGGCTGCAGCATGACACCGAGTGGGAACTGTTGCCCAAACACTTCAACAACTGGAGAGGCTACGGCCATGCTTTTGGGGTTTCTGCCTTCAATAAAGAAAAAAATGAATTTACTCCTAAATCAGAAACGAGAACTAAGGGACAAACCTTAGGAAATTAAGTCAGTACACAGAGGAAGACTTAATACTCCTGGAGATGGGATAACTGCAGAGAAGGAATTAAACCAGCCTATACACTTTTAAAAGATTATATTAGTCCAACATTTATTTTAAATCTTGCCAACCATTAATCATTAGCATGACAGACAGAGCAATTACTGTCTATTTTGTTTAACTCCATGGCACTGATGTGTATTAATACTACAATTGTGAAGGGAAAAAAGAATTGCCTTTCAAAAGGAGGGCTCCCAAGTAACACCCCAATTAAGAAGCACCAGTGGTCAAGGGGATGCTGGATTTCATGCTTAACTGCTGCTCATTTCTTCCCTGCCATTTTCTGGAAGGGAAAGTGAAGGCAGGATAAGAGCTGGGGGCAAAAGGGAGCTAGCGCCTGCCTTGACATGTCCCCTGCCTGAACAGAACCACCTCCCTTCCTGTGTCTCCTCACCTCCCACTTTAGGAAGGACCTCATGTCCACCCTAGGTACGACCAAATTCACTAATAAATAAATAAATAGATAGGTAGATAAATAAATAAATAAATAGATGAATAAATTATGTGGGATCTCTGGTTTCCTCAGCTGCCCACTCTTCAGGATGACGTCCTGACGCAGCGAGGAGCCCAGCTGGAGACACTGTCATGCCAGGATGTAGGGTTATAAGTGCAGTCAGGAGGCCCAGACACCCAAAGGAATGAACCGGAGTCTTAATTCCTTCAGTCTCTCACCCCCCTACTCCTCAGCTCTGACTGCAGCCATGATTTGGGCCTGGGTTTTTTTGCAGAGAGGACAGTACCCCAAGCAGCTTGTCAACACGTTACATTGCTCTAGTGCTAACTGTAGTGTTGACTCTTCCCATATTATCAACATGCTTGCCTGGAGGACATCTTCCTCCACACACAAGACCCACTGCTCTTCTGGATGCATGAGTTCTCTGGTGCCTTCTCACTCCAGTGAGACCACTCCTAGCTGAAACATGTGCTTGGAAGAGCCTACAATGCTGTCCAGACATGTTTTAATTTGGGGAAACTGTCTACGACCCCCCCTAGAGTCAATTTGAAAGGTCTGTGTCAAGGTCCTAGCTGGAGAAGGTTGGACTGGGTAAACCAATTCTGCTTTACTGAACTGATCAGACAAGCCTGGAGCTACCACGATGCTGCCAGAAGAAAAGAAAGCTGCCCCGCAATAAATCTGCATGCTTCATCTGGCTGGGCTGGATCTGCACAGGGGATGGTGGATTTTTAAAGCAAGCTTTAGCTCAGTGCTGCAAGGTAGAAAATGCAGCAGCTTCATTGCATAGGTCCTGGGGTGGGGGTATCTTTCTGTATTTGAGCCTTCCAGAAGAAGAGACCACCTTACAAGCAGATGTCCAGATGTTGTCTCCCAGGGGCAGCCACCAGCACTGCAGCAAGCTCTGTAGGCACTCTCATCTTCTCTTTTGCACACCATTACCGCACAGCAGAAGAGTGAAAAGCCACTTGCACCCTACACCTAACCTAGATGAAACAGTCACAGGGTCCATTCTCTGGTCCTGAGACAGTGCACAAAGCCAGCTGCAGGGTCAGGGCAAGACCATGTAGCTAAATGCTCAACACAGAGTGGCTCCTGCCACGAGGTCTTTCAGGAGTCACCCCTGCTGTCTTCTGCCATGTTCCCAGGAATGGGTTTGGAGAGTGGTAGCTGGCCCAGGCTAAGAGCATGCTGGAGACTGCTCAAGCAGATTAATGATATAGACCATCACATTCCTATGCCTGGGCCTGGGTGATGTTTAATTTACTAGCACAAACACAGCAACAGGCCACTTCCAGGAAAAAAATATTAATAGCAAGATATACTACTTAATCTGTAATTCCTTAACTGGGATTACCGGGACTGACATGTAGTTGCTTCCAGTATCCCTTGGTGTGCCTTGCCCTGACTGCAGAGTTTCCAGGGCACCTCCTCAAACCAGAATCTAAACCAGCTGCGTCAGGCTGGTGCGGGCATCGCTGCTGGCACAGCATCCCTGGACCGTTTTGGATGCAGATGTCCTTAACCTCACATCTTCCTGCAGAGAGACACCACGTGTCAGCTCATCTTGGGTGAGGACCTAGAACTGGGGAGCCACCAAAACCAAAAGAGACCTCAGCTTTTGGAAGCGATGTGCTGAACGCACCACGACTAAGTTGCTGGCAAAGCCGGGGTATGGCTGACATCGAGTCTGCCAGAGAGAGAGATTAACTTGGAGATACCCGAGGCCCTCTCCGGCCTTGGAGGAGTAGTGCTCTAGCATGAAGGTTCATTCATAGCAACCCAGGACCGCGCAGGGCAGGATTCTCCGCCTTATCCCCGTGCTGACAAGAGTCATGGCAGATATCTGGTTTCTTGGCTCAGCGGGGGACAGAGGGGTGATGTGAGTGAGCGCTTCCTCCAGTTTACGAGTACCCCTTGGCAGGGCTCCCACTGGGGCTAGGCAAGCTGGCTGGCTTCTGGTTTCATCCTGACCCTAACTGCAGGCAGGGGAGAGAGTCAACTGCTGGGATTAGAGGCGAGAGCCGTTATTCACTACCACCAGCAGACCCCCAGCATCCCTCGCCTGGCCCTTATCCTCCTGGTACAGAAAAACTCAGACAGAAAACCTGGGGCTGAAGGCCCGCATCCCCACGGTGGATGAAAACACAGTGACAGATCACCACAATTCGAGGAAAAAGGAGAATGGCATTAGAAACACTTACTAAATGCTAATGTTAGAAGGTGTGGTACACAATATAAAGCCTTGAAAGAAGCTCCAGCATCCAGCTTAACCCTGCGCACCTGTCCCAAGCTTTGATTTCTTATTCCAGGAATAAAAAAAATATACAGGTAGCTGTGGCAACAGAAATAGTTGCGCATCCCCCTGCCCCTTTAAAATGTTAAATACAGGGGTAACTTACACTGTGGGAATGAGAATGTCTCAAAGAGAAAAAAAAATTATACTTTGCTATTAAACCAGATACATTCAGACCTTTCATCATGAAGCTTCTGATGATCTCTGACAAACATCTGAATAAGGTCTTTGTTTGCTTTTTGCTTTGTTTTTTATCTCCCCAATTATTTTCAGTGTTTCTCTGGAGCACAGACCCAGGGGCTGAACACTGCTCTCTGCTCTAAAGCAGTGATTCCCACGTCAGCTAAGGGGAGCTGCAGCTGTGCAAGCAGCGGGGCAGGACAGGTCTCCGAGGTTATTAGTATAAGCTTAGTCACACTTTGTGGTGATGTCCTGTTAACAACTGCGACTCGAAGCAAAAAAAAAATTAAAAAAAAATAAATAAATCTAAAACCAACACACACAAAACCCCCCAAAACCATAAAAACATACGCTCTGTGCTCTTCCCCTGGCATCTAGTAAACGAGGCAACAACAACAACAACTCTGCTCGGAAAAGTTCCCTCAGCTGCCTGTCAGTAACATCATATGTATTTTTTTGCTTTCTATGACTACTACAACTATGACATTTTCCATGTTTTATTTTGCATACGTGATCTAGAGTTCACTTACTGTTAGATGCTGGAACAGCCATGCCCTCATGATATTTGTGGCTACTTTGGGAAAGATGCCACGCTTTTTATGTCGCTTTTTGTCCTTATCTGGATCATCATCATCACCTGTGCTGGGGGAAGCTACACTGTTGTCCAAGCCGTCACCTGTAAATATAGTGAATCAAATTTTGACTTATGCTACCTTTATATACTTCAGCCGAAGCCTGGCTTTGGGTATAAACTGCATGAATATTTAAATGAGGTATAAATTCTTTAACACCATAATTCACCGGGGGTTGAGGGGATGGGGGGGGAAGAGACATGGGGAGAGGGAGGGTCTCAGGACTGTGTCAGCCCCATTCTGATTTGTCCTGAAGGACAGTGTGACCATTTCTGCCGCTGGATTCAGCACGGTAACCCAAACCAAAAAGTGCTTAAAAAAAAGAAAAAAAAAAGTAATTTTTTTGCAAGCATCCAGCTTGCAAAGGTGGAAACTGTGGCTTTTCTTCACACTAGGTCACTTTCCAAAAATTCATCCCAATCGTCTACTTTGGTTGAGATGGCAATTAGGAAAATATCGATGGTATCCCATCCCCACGACATGTGTGAAGCTGCGTGCCCCGTCCCGCTCTAGGATGCGAAAAGCGGGGTGAATGCAGCTCTCTTGCAACATCAGATTCTCTCCCCAAATTCAGAAAGAACCAGAAGATCGGGGGATCACTTCTGTTAAGTCTTTTACAGATGTTTGACTTTCCCTGACTTTTTGATGGGAGGTGGGTAGCTAACTGGCCTCCCCTCTTCCCAGCCGCAGCCTAAAGAAATTCATCCTGGGATAAGTAGGTACCAATGTGACATACGCCGTAGGAATTAACACCCTGCTTTGTGCCGGTGTGCCATATCCATAATAAGTGTCTGCTCCCGTTAAACAACAACTGATCCAGAATGAATTTCCTTAATGCAGGGAAGGTCTCAGACAGTTCTCATCACATTAGCAACATATCTACGGGAGGACATAACTGCGGAGCAGCCAACTTGGGGCTGGGCTGGCAGGCTACCGGTCAAGGGAAAACAAAACTTGCAGTGCCCTGCCAGCTTGCATGCAATTTTTGTTTCAAACCCTGAAAGCAGTTTAGAGACACAGCAAATCAGTCTTTGCATTCTCTGCATGCAGATTGAACGGTATATCCTGCCTTCTGAGGACACTGTATTTGTAGCAACGTGGGGCTGCAATGTTGTTAGGCAAGTGTTTTTTACACCCCCAGGCAAGAATGATCAAGAAAGTCATCTGAATTGAGCTGAATCAAAACTATCTCTTGTTAAGAATAAAAATTAAAAATAAATTAAAAAAAAATATGTAGACTCAAAATTATTAAACAGCTTTCAGCACCAAAAGAAAAAAAGTTATTATTAGGGTTATATTTTTAGTACCTTACTGACTGTGGCAAATTTGTAATTGTCCTTATGACTTGGCCTGTGTCTTTAATGAAACGGTAACCTTGGGTAGTTGTAGAAACAAACAAGATTTTTATGAAGAAATCAGATATCCGACAGATTCTTTGAAAGCCCGGTATGTAAAAAAAGGGCTTTTATACAGAGAAGCAATTCACCATATAAAATAATAATTCATAAAAGAAACATGAGCAAAGGAAACAACTCAACAGCATTTAAAATTCCACGGGCTAATCCACTTTCTGTCTGCGAGAGGCAAACAAGGAAAAGAAAAGTATTACGCATTCATTGATTAAAAATGAAAAGCTTCTAACCTAATGACACTGCCTTTCACCACCTCCCTGCAACCATCCACCCACCCTTTCCCCCCCTCCCCTTTTTTTTTTTAAAATACACTCTCTCCTCATTTCAAACCCCCTTCAGATTAATTTAGCAGGCATCGCCTCGTGCCTGACGGGAGGAGGACTCATTGATAATTTATGGAAATATCTACTATAATCCAAGGGAGATGACTTTTTTTTCCAGCTTTGTGCATCAATAGATAATCAAGGCCTTCAAGCAGCCTTAGCTTCCCATTACCTCGGGCAAGAGAATTCCTGAAAGCATGCCTCCGGGGCACCTGAATTATATCCTCCATTAGGGGAGGAAAAGCTTTCTGCATTCCACCTATAACACTCCCCAGAACCTTTCCTGTTTATTTCTGCTGTATGAAAGCAGAAGCATTAGGAACAGGATTTTTTAAGTGAAGACTTATGTAGATACAATGGAGAAACCTTTCAAGCGCGAGCCAGATCACCTCCTTCAATCCCTGGCGGTGACCTATCCCAAATAAAAGGTTTCTGTTACATCATTAGCTCAAGCCAAAAACAGCCTTGGCTTAATGCACAGTTTGTTCTTCCTACTGTTTTTAGGCAAATACTGCTACTTTACTCCCATCTGGGAGGGAAATTACACTGCTGGGCTGTAATCTAAGACAAGATTTTCATTGGAAGCAAATGCTTTCAATCCAGTGTAAATACTGGTGCATGTTCAGAAAAGCCTAAAACAATAAACCCCAGCCCCGTCCAACACAAGTTAGAGAAAGTGAAAGGCAGGGAGAGGATAGGAAAGCACCCGGCTATCCTAAGAGCAAATGCTTCGGTAGACTTCTATAAATTGTTTAACCTCTTCCACTTCTTTTAAATGGAAAATTGATCCCTTAAAGACTGAAACCACAGAGAGAAGTCTAAATGGTCAATTGTGGATTTTAGTATTTCCATCTACTTTGCAACTCGATACACTCACCTCTGTGAGGTCTCCAGAGATCCACCTCCCCTCTTTTCCCCCCCTCTTTTCCTCTTTTTAAAGATCACTAAACAAACTTGAAGCACCGCTGACCAGCCACACGGTAGCAGCTACGAACCGCGTTTGTAAAATGTCAGCGGCGACTCCGTTCCTGAAGTTGACTTCTCCTGCCGCCAAATGAAGGCGAACTGAAAAGGTGGAAATAATCATAGAAATGATGCTAGTCCATAAACAAGCTTACAGCCTCATTAGTATAGCGGGAGGCTCCACTGGGTGATTTATGCTTGTTTTGCTGATGCCATGAGGAAATGCCATAGGGCAACTTTAGCCAGCTGCTAATGGTTTCTGACAGCTTCTTAGCAACTAGTGCAAGCAACGCTGTGGCGTTTGCTAGTGACAGAAACCGAAAATGTCATATTATCTGCCCATGTGTCACGAAGTCCATGTGGCAATTAACTAGTAGGCCAGTGACTGAGGGGCCAGAGGCTCTTCAAAATGGCCTGTGGCTATTTGGGGGGCAGAGCAGGCGCACCGCTCCCGTCTACCCTGCACATATGCATGGCCGTATGCACGATCCGCATCATGCTCCTCCATCTCGGTCACCCATGAGTTTGGTCCACGCGGATCTTTTGTCCATGGAGAAACTCTGGCTCGCTTTCTCTTTAGGCACGGCGTGACATTATCAGAGGAATTGCAAGTAATCTGTCTTGATATCATGGTTAGAAATGGCACTTTAATTGGCAATACCTGATTCTCTGGTTTTGAGCGCTGGATCCGAAGGTGCTAGCTGTTTTTCTGCTCGCTCGCAAATTAGTCTAAAAGGATTTAAGATCACTGAAGCAGACTTGTTGCCTGTCAAATTGCTGGGAGCACAGCGACTCTGCACAGCAACGAGACGCTATTTAAAAAAAAAAAACCCGGAGCCTGTAAGGAGCAGGAGGAGAGCCCGGGCTCCGCGCGCCTGTTCCCCAGCGAGCAAACCCAGGCGCTATATGTCAAACTGTCAAACCTTTCAGCGTGGCCATTTGCCCTTTCAAATAATATTTAAGAATTGTTTTTACACAATTTTTTATAGGCCATGGTCTAGTGAAAGAGGCCAACCAACAAAGAAAGGAATTTGTACTACAATTCGTCCGTGGACGATTTCTTGCCAGACCTGGGCCGGTCCCCATGGAGCAAGGCAGGTGACCTGTGGCAGCTCCCCGGCTGTCAGGGAGCTCCAATTTCAAACGCCCTCGACTCCGGCGTCCCAGAGTTGCCTATTTAAGCACACCCAGGCATTTAGGCCGCACTATCTTGTTCCTTTCAAGAAAGGATAAAGCGGCATTTATCGTATTCAGCCCCGCTGAATGGGTCAGGCCGGCCATGCCAGCGGGGGCTCCTCTCGCTGCATCCCCCTCCCCGCTGCCATCGCCTCCTACGACTTCCCTTCCCCTCCCACTGCCCCAAAAATCGAAGGCAGAAGCAGCAAAGGGCAACGGGGTTTACAGCGGCTCCTCGAGTGGGTAATGCTCTCTTTGTCCTGGGTGATCTCTCATAAACCTTTGTTGGCAAAATAGGTGCAACTGGAGAGCAACTTGGCACATGCACTCGCCTTCAGCGGCAGTGGCTGTTGCAGGAATTAGGTGGCAAGTCAAAGGCTCCCCCCTTGCTTCTACACCAAACCGAACCGAATCGTCCTCACCCTGCAATGTTGGAAAGGCATAGCTAGGCAACTTTCAGCCACCCAGCTCCTAAATCCATCCTCAGACCTCTGGCATAGGAGCTGCCCAGACACGATATGAATAGTCCCAATCCCAAATTGGGGACATTTCAGAAAGGTTGGAAATTCAGATGTCCTAAAAACCCTGGCCCTTTGCTCAACTAGAAAACCCATGCCTTCGCATGTAGCTCTTTAGATTAACATCCTCGAATGATTTTAAGTGACCAGAAATATCAATAGCAAAGTGCCAAATATAGTTTTACTGCAAGTATCTTCATCAGATGCAACAGGTTATTTCTCACTGCAGGTAGCCCTGTCCTAGGATCAAATCAAATCTAGGAGCACAAATATTTTTATATCAAAGCAAAACACACTATTCCTAAAAAGCCTGCTTCCCACACCTCTGTCATGAGATTTGAGAGAGGTTTTGGGGTCCACTGCTAAATTTGTTTGGAGGGGGTGAGAGGAGGGCACTGGCTTTGCCGAGGTCCACCAAATCACATGATGAATGCCACCTTCCACAGCTTTTACAGTTCACCCCTAGATAAACATCTAAATCCATTGCTTTAAGGCATTCATGGAAGAAAATGTAGAAGACATGTACGCAGAAGCCCTGGGAAAGACCCAGAGCAACTTTTAAGTGGACTGGATGGCTCCATTAACAGGGGACTAAATCAGTGTCCTTTAAAAGACCCAATGCTCCCTAAGTTTAACTTATTTCTATGTTTCC